TGTTGCGGGGGGGGGGGGAAGGAGTGGTCTGTTTGTTTGTGTTGCCTCTTGGCCAACTGCTTTATTTCTGGCTCATCTGAATTGCAGTCTGGGCTCTGCAAAGCAGGACAAGGCGGAGAGTGTTTCTGGAAGGGTAGCAATTAGAAAAACTGGTAGGGAATTTGATTACAAAATGATAAGAGTAGAAAAAAAATTCCAAGCAGAAGTCTTTTCTGTACAAGCTTGTTTCCAACAACTTTTGCCATAATCTGTATTTTTTTGGCATTTTGCAGGACTTCCTGTTGTTTACCTGGAGGGCGTGTATTTTTGTGTTGAGGAATATTGTTTAATTTGAAACTGCATTTGGGCAGGAACAAAGAGAGGCTGAAGTGCTGGAAAATAAAGCCCTGTATTTATTGTTGCAACTGTATATCATATATAATAGCTGCATGTGGTAAAAAAATTGCTTCTCTCCAGCCCTTGCTTCAACACACAGCTGAAGAAAAATGCCTGAGAGTTGCTTTGCCTTTAAAAAAAAAAAAAAAATCCAGATAGACTGCTCATGGGTTGTAGTGGTCTGGGTAATATGAGTGCTTGCTCATTACAGGTACCATGCTATTTATTTAGATGAAAATATGACAGCCAGATTTTTTTAATTTTTATTTGTATTTGCATGGAGCACAGTGTGGCACCTCTGCTTTTCTAGGTTTCCGCCCTGTAGAATCAGCCAAGTTTTACTCGTAGATGTCTATTTGCCACAGATTTATGAAGAAAAATATTATTAAGGAATAAAAAAAAAAACCTTTTGTACTTTGAAATGGAAAGATGAACTTATCATGTCTATTTAGGAGCATTTTTTACCACTTCATTGTATCTTCTTTAAAAGCAGTACTTAACACTGGATGAAAAGAATACTATGGAAAAAGTAATGGGCTAGACATTTTGAGCAGCTGCACTGATAATGAGCATAATCAACTGTCTATCAGATTTTTCATTATAGACCTTGGTTTTGAGAAGTTAATGTAAAAATTTCTAAACAAAATGTACCATAAGTCTACATTTAGTCACAATTAATTATGAAAATAAATGTATGCAAATTAGTTCTCATTTGCCAGTGCTCTGAATGGCAGCCTGTCAGCATTTGATATCGCTGCAGTTGCCAAAATGATACCCCACGTAATTTGGGAATTGAGATTATTTTATAATGGCAATCTTTTTAGACAATTCCAAATACCAAACTTGCAACTGATAATATAACCTAGATGGTCCAAAACCCGCAACATACCTTTCTGCTGGGTTTGCAGCCTTCAGCTGCAAATGACATTTCAACTTCAAAATAGTCAAGAAAGTTAGAGGCAAGCAGTAGCATTTTGCTTGGATAAACTGAAGGAAGATGATGCGTTAGATTGATTTTGCTGATTTTTTTTTCCCTTGTAAATTGTAATCTCTTTCATGCATGATGTTAGATACTGATGGGGCTGTTAAGTGATTGCAAGCAGGCTCTATAGGTGGGCCATGAAATCATGATTGGGATAGCAGGTCTTTTGTATAATGTTTAGTCAAGATTATTTTTTTTCTAAACTTCCTCAGTATGTTTAGCAACAGCTTGTACTTAAAGTTTGCGTAACAGTGTTACTGTATGGCTGCATCTTGCACCTGAGGTACTGTGAAACAGTCTGCTCTCGACGGGGTCTTTGATAATACTGTAAGTCCCGTAACTTCATAGCTGGATGTGAGTTACGCTTGGAGATTCAGAGACTGCAAGTCTGTGTTATTTACAGGCACACTGCAAGCCCATCGTGCTGCAGAACCATCACAGAAGCAATCATGGAGATGCCTTAGTGTCTTCCACAGCACCTTGTATTTCCTTCTGTAAACCTTTCTGGCTGTTCCGTTATTTGAAGTATGGGAGAGTTGAATCAATACTGGAAAATAAACGTGGTGAATGGATGGTAAAGCAAGGTCTATTTTGCTTTTTCTCCAACCATCAGGTGACATTTCAGAGCTGCTATGTGAGGTTTACACTTTTTTTGCCACCAGTTTTGATTTATTACTTTTTCTGAGCAACATTTGTGACTATTGCTCTCCAACTTGCCCAGCAATGAGAAGAGGGAATCATAACATCCACATGTCACATCCTGGGCCTCAAATCCAGGAAAATCTATGTCCTATTCCCAGTCTTGGGTCATATGCTGCCCTGGGGTAGGTTCCATTTGGAAGGCAGCCCAACTCTCCACCCATGCCAGCCTGCTTCTCCACCACATCCTCTCTGGAGCTGGGGTGCTTGGAGCTGGTCAGGCTTCAGTCAGAGAGGGGGGCACAGGAGAGTAACAGCTCAAGCTCCTGTGTCTAGCCAGTTTGCCTTGATGTTGGCATGCCCAGAAATGAGGCAGCGAAGCTGGTGAAGGGTCTAAAGCATAAGTCTTACAAGAAGCAGCTGAGGGAACAGGATTGTTCAGCCTGGAGAAAAGGAAGCTGAGGGGAGACCTTATCAATCTCTACAACTGCCTGAAAGGAGGTTGTGGCGAGATGGGTGTTGGTCTCTTCTCCCAGGTAACAGGCGATAGGACAAGAGGCAATGGGCTCAAGGACTGCCAGGGGAGGTTTAGATTGAGCATTAGGGAAAACTTCACCAGAAGGGCTGTCAAGGACTGGAACAGGCTGCCCAGGCAAGTAGTGGAGTCACTACCCCTGGAAGTATTTAAAGGAGATGTAGATGGGGTCCTCAGGGACGTAGTTTAGTGATGGACCTGGCATTGGTAGGTTGATGTTTGAACTCTTAAAGTTCTTTTCCGACCTAAACCATTCTTTGATTCTACGATGTGCAGGCAACCTCTGATGCTGGAATTAAATTCGGATAGTGACATGAGGTGGTAATGCTTTGTTTCTCCCATGGTTTAATGTTTTAAATGCAATTCCTTTAAGCTGCTAGTGAGAACGGAGCCAATACCACGCTGCATCCTTGCCAGTGAGCAACATTAAATTCAGAAGTGCCTTTCAGACATAGGGTCACCAAGCTGCAGGGCTGTGGATGCGGTCACGTACCCGCTTCCCACCCTGCTGAAACATTGTGAGATATAAGCAGTCAGCTGAACAGTTGCTTCAGTTCAAGGGCGGAAAATAAATCTGGATAAGGCAAAACAAATAGTATAGGTCTGGCGCAAAGAGAGATAAAAGGAGAGAGGCTTAGATGTCGTCTGAATAAAGACTCTTTCCTACCCCTTAGATATTTTTAAGAGACCTGGTAAGGTTTTGCCAAATCTGTCAAGTCTTTTTTTATTCCAACACTACTTCTCCATTACCCACTTCCATGCATTTTCTTTGTTCTATTTTGCTCTTGCTACAGTTGGCTTTTGACAGAGGAAGCCAGGAAGTTTTGGCTTTCTTGGGTTGTGTATTAAATTACTAACGACAGGAGACGAGAGCTTTAGTTTCCTGTCTTGAAGTGATAGATGGCCATCGTGCTTGTTATCCTTCAGTACAGGCATGAAGACTCCTCAATGGTTTAAAAGCAAGTGGAAAACAGTCATTACAGGAAAAAAAAAACCAACTTATTTTTGAAAGCAGCAAAATGGAGTAATTTTAAGTTGTGGAACATTTAGGTATGATTTTAAATAGCTTTTCTCTGAGAACTTAATATTTCACACTTATGCTGTCAAAACTGCATTCTGGATGCTATGTTTTATTTTTCTTGTGGGTGATTCCCATATGTGTTCAGTGTCTTAAACAGCAAAAATGGTTTTCATGGTTCTGAGGTTATAAGAAAGCGCTCCATTGTTCTCCTTGAAAGAAACACTGGCCATGTGTCATGAAAAATACGGTAGAGATTCCTCTGTCACCACTTTCATTTTTGTTTTCAGTCATACAGTAGAACATGTCTTAGAAAAATGTATTCAATGGTCACATTTCGGGGATTTCAGAAGTCACAGAATTTAAATTTTAAATTGCCGAGGAAAGGATAATTCTTGTTTATGAAGGAGATGAAATTCAGAAGATGAAACATCTGCAATTTGAAGATAGATCTGCCTTCTTTCAGTCTTTCTCCCTCTCTTTCCACACACCACCTTATTATCTGATCTCCATAAGCAACCTGTGCATACTGTATTTAGTGGGCGAGAAGGCTTTCTGTTGCAAGCAACCATTGTATTACATTTTTTCTTTTTTGGAGTAAATTAAATCTTAAAATACAATAAAAGAAATTTCTTTCTGACAAGACATAGGATGATTGTTGTTGCGTAATGAATTGCAACTTTCCAGCATTCCTCCCCAGGCAGTTACAGGGTGGGTTTAAAAAAGGTGCCACTGTTAGCGTTGTCTCTACTGAAATCTGCCTGCAGAGCAGGGGCTGATTTCATGAATGATGTATGTCGGATGAAACATTTTTTGAAAGCTAGAGCTAAATGTGGTGCTTCTGATATTGCCATAACAGGTGCTGTTATTTTCTTCCAACAGTTACCCTGCTGTATGTGAATTCCTACAGCACAATAACTTGTTATCTATACTCCGAGCCCACGAAGCCCAGGATGCCGGGTAAGTATGTGTGGAAAGGGGACACTAATAATGAATAATGATTTAACCATTGTCAAACAGAGCAAGGAAAGAAAGAAAACCGAGTGAGAATGAACTGAAAATCTTTAAGTTGCAACAGCTCTCACTTTTTATTAATGCTGTGAAAACATACACTGGCATTAGAATGTCCTTTACATGGTTACTGCTGAGTTACAGGACTTGATGAATCCTCATAGATCCCACTTGCTTGACCTGAGTGATTTCAAGAGGCTTAAAATGACCAAAAGTTATTTGGATGTCAAACTTGGGGTGGAAAACAAATTCATCTCAGAACAAGAAGTTTTACAAATGTACCTGAGACTTCTGACACACTCATTGCCATGATGCCTGGGAAGGCGAAAATGGTCATCTTTGGAGTCTTTAACACCTTCCCAAAGCTTCTGGGCCTACTAGTTTGAAGCTTTATCAAGAAAATAAACTTGCAGAACTCAATAGCCAAAAATTATTTTATGCAGGAGTATCATTAATAAATTTAATTTAATTTAATTTAATTTAATTTTGTGTGCAAAACCAATCCAGGTCAAGCTCTGGGTGATGTTGATGGTTCTCTCATGAAACTATTGCTGGTGTAAAGGTAGAATTTTTTATGCTGCTTAAAAAAAATTATCAAGAATTATCTATTCATTGAAATGTACCATGCTTATGAGATTTTAATGAAGGACTGGTCTCTGAATAAATAGCTTTGCATATCTTGCATAAATTATTAATGTGTTTATTTGGAGGTAGTAACTTTACCCAACCTGAATAGTAATAAAAGATAAAGTAGCAAGATTGTAGGAACGAGGTCGATATTCCCTATGCATATAAAAAACTATTCTGAATGTTGGAATTATCACATACTTAAAAATGTCAATGCAATTAAAAGCAAGCTATTACTTTGCCAGAAATAACTGGCATGAAATACCCAAGGGTAATGAAATTTCATTTTTATTGTATTACTTTCCAATAAAGGGTGAAAAATAAAATTATGCAGAAGGGATTGCACTGAAACTATACAATGGTTTCAATGCAGCTATTGTGGATGTTTGCCAAACTCTTCTGTTTCTTGTAGCTGAAGAGTAAAGAGCAGTATTTGGTGTTACTTGTGTCTGTAGTAAGACAAAAGTGTGCTGTTTGGTTGGTTTACTTCTAATTACTTGAGGTTTAATGCTTGGTTGATTATATGTTGGTCCAATAAGCATTTTGTCTTTCATAAGGCAGCAAGGTTAGGTAATGGAAACATGCAAGAGTTAATAAACTGGCTAAAAGACTGGATGAGATTAGACACCGCTCTGAAGATACTGGACCCCGTGTTTCCCCTCCCCTGCTCACCCTTTCTGTCTCCCCTGGACTTGCCATCGCTCATGTGCCCCAGGGAGGCGTGGAGCACCTGCACTTCTCTTCTGAAGGCAGAACCATCCATCCCCAAGGGACATGCAGGTGCTTGCCTGCACCCGCATCCCACAGAGGGAGAGTCTGGGAACATCTTGGGGTGCACAAACATAGAGACCACGTGGCTCCAGAGACGGGCACTGAGTGGTTTCATGACAAACCCACCTCTGGCTCGCTGAATTTCAAAGACACAGCTTTTGAGCGTGGTGTGCGTCCCTGGTCATCCCAAATGAGTGTAATGAATAAGTCTGCAGGAAAATTTTTTTTTTTCCCCGTGGCTTTAAAAAGCACATGTGCATGGTTTTCTATCTTGGCATTTGTCAACAGCCAGCGCAGTCATGTACTGAGGTTTTTTGCACTATATTTAGTCAGTGACAAATACTCATGCAACACTGGGCAATAATTAGTATCTTCTCTTTCCTTTTAGATATCGTATGTACAGGAAAAGCCAAACAACAGGCTTCCCTTCACTAATCACAATTTTTTCAGCACCAAACTATCTAGATGTATACAATAACAAAGGTAAGAGTTTAATTACTGTTTGTATACCTTAGACTGTACTTCTCTTTACTCAAATATATTACATTGATTTTCTCTTTCACTCCTTTATTTATCAGTTCATGCCCATTTTCTTCTGTTTATTAGTTCATGCCCATTCCATTTATTACATAATACAAATCTAATTAAATTTATTACAGGCAGATGTATGCCTCTGAACATAACTAGATTCTACTATGCCTTAGGATATTTCTGTATTTTGACTGCAAGTTATTAAGTAAATGTTACACAGGAAGCAGAACTGAAAACAGCTCTGTTAACTAGGAGAAGTACATTAAGAAATGCTGTGAGTGAGCTGTTCAGAGCCCAGCATTTCTTGTAATTAGTTATTTGTCCCTTTGCTCCTTTCCAATAAAATTAATGGAGTTTGTGTATGCAAACCCTCTAGCCAGCTAACAAATGTTGACAGATCGTCAGTGGATAAAGCATAGGATAGATACTGTCTGAGTTCCTTAATGTTTCTGTTTTTTTAATTACTTGAAAAATGTTACATAGGAAGTGATACATCATTAGCAAAAAAACCCCGTGTTTCTGCACAATCACCAGTCACTCCTTAAAGACTCCACTGAATATAAGTGTTTGCAGCTTCTCTGAGTTTATTAGTTTGTAGCATTCCCTGAAAATCTCCTCTAATGAACTGGAAAAAAAATGTTTCTAAAAATAAAACATTTTCATAAACCTGTCCTCCTATATCTTGAAATGAGCAGTAATGTTTACTTCTATTCCCAGTAAAGCTAGAGTTATTTGTGTTCCTCTGTGAGCAAAACATTTTTTTTCGTCAGTGATATTCTTGAAAATAGCTCCATTGCAAAGAGATCAATCCTTCTTGAGAAGAGACATTTTTTAATTTGGATGCTTGCCTGCAAAGGAAATAAGTAATTTTAATTTATTTTTTTAAAAACTTGCAAAAGAGAGCTCCTTCAGGCATCTATATTATAAAACTTATAATATAAAAGCTGTTATGCCATGAATTTTATGCAAGGGAAGGAAACGCTTCACTATTAGATAATGGGATTTGTACACTTTGCTGTTCTCAATACGTGTGTTAACATGTGGAAAAACTAATAAAAAAGCATTCTGCAAAAAAAAATGTGGAAGCAGAGCTGTCAGTAGCTAATTTTGTAAAAATAACTGATAGAGAGATTCTGCTAGCAACCCAAAAAGTGCAGGATGAAGCAAAGAATGTGTTAATTTTCTGGGCAGCATTGTTGCTGTTGGTGGAGAAGTGTGTCTGCTCCCTGGGTCCGGTGCTTTGGGCAGAAGGCAGACCAGACCGACGATGGGTCTGTACGAGGAAGATGACAGAGAAGGTTCACCTTCCATTTCTTAATGCGTGGGGGCAGTTCTGTGCACACAAAAGGCAACGGGTGAACAATGTGAGATTTTTGTCGTGCAGGCAAATGTTAAACATGAAGCCAGAATCTCTAATATTAAAAATCTTGAATTTGAAGCCACAGAGTTTGGGTGGTGAAATGCCTCTCTGTTATCTATTTTGGAAGAGGGGGTCATCTCCCTTGTTCCAGGATGTTCCGCTGTGGCAGGCAGGTCTTAAAAACTGGGGGGAAGCCTTTTCTGGTGAAAAGTTGTAGGCCAGCTGCTGACAGGCAATGGTTATCTGATGTTCGGGTGCGCTGCTGAGTGAACTCAGGCAAATGAAACATGGTGCAAGATCGGCCCCGGTGTGCCACTCTTTCATGTCTGACTTATAAGTTTAGAGACTGACCTTTAGCAGCTTTGTAATGGATTTCTGTTGGGTTTAACTGCCTCCTTTTCTCTCATTAGAAGTTAAGACGCATTATTTCATGTGACTGATTGCACTGTCTCTTGGCATTTAAAGTACATCATGCATAGTTTTTCATGCTGCGTTGCTCATGCATCTTCATCTGCATAGCGTTTGGGTGTGTGCTTCTCTCTCTGAGAAACAAAAACAGCATTATCCTCGATCAATCCAAAACATGACTGCGTGTTGGCTTCCTTGATTTGCAGCAGATGAATTAACTAAGAACACAGAGCTTAGAACTGATTTCAGGAGGCAAAGGAAGACCTTTGTGTTCAGAGGTGTTACAGGACAATTTCTCTCGCTGACTCATCATGAACTGGTGCAGAACCTGATTAATTTTTACTAATCGTTTGAGGGTTTTGGTTACTGTCAGCCTTTGGAAAAGGAGTTACTTTCCTAGTAGTAAGTTCATTTTTTATTTTTTTTTATTGTGTGTTCTTAGTATGTGTGTTCTGGTTGTCACTTGGGTATAAAGTCACCTTAACTAAATTCCTGAAAGGATCCATCTCCCACTGACATGCATTTTTAAATACAGTGTTATTTAAGATAAATAAATTTTTTTTTTAAAGCTGCAAGGGGCTAGGAATGCTCATTTGCTACCTCAGGTTGATAGTTCTCATACCCATTAAAGCAGATGTACTTCCTTGTACTTCTTCAAAGCACTTCAGAAGGAAGTGGCCTTGGTTGCCAGCTTTATCCAAGGACTTATTCAGTCCCTGCTGTAGAGCAGCCACCGGGATCAAATGTGTCCTCAAAGAGCAGTAGGGAGGCACATTCCCAGAGCAAAAGGAGGTTTGGTGGGAGTAGCTGAAGATAAGCTACTCAAACAAGACGATGTTCAGCATATCTGCTGCTAACAAAGCTGCTGTGGACCCCTCGCGTGGGCTGTCTCACAGTATCGACCCACCATGGGAATTTCCTTTGGCCTTGCTCTGTCAGATTCTGGCACCGAAAGGAGTTTTCTGTATCCTTTTGGTTACTGGCCGCTGCCTCCTGAAGGCTGCGTATGTAATTTGTCCGTCATGTGGCTGCTGTTGCAACCCCAGCCCACCCACATGCACAACTTTGGGTGCCAAGATTAGGTTTTTCAGTTAGGAGGCTCTGGTCAGGGTTTCCCCATGTAGTTAATGAAAGCAGAGAGATAGGATTTCAGGGGGTGATTCACAAATTCAGAAGCTGCCTAGGTATGGGGAGCATAGTGTCCTTCCTCTTTCCAAGACTATCCCTCTTCCTTATTGTTACTAATGTTTTCCATATTCATTATAATGGAGAACGTTGGCAAAAGGGAGGAATTTATATGTTTTTTTTCTGGCAACTTCTGAGCTGCTGTTCAATGTCTTCATAACCTTCTCAAACATTTCTGCTCTCACTTATATTATTAAAAGGCATAAAGAAAAAGATACTTTATTATTAAAATTTGTTGCAAGAAATGCCACCGCCTTGATTTTCTAAGACTTCTGGAGAGGATCAAAACTCCTCATGCAAGAAGATAAATGTTAATTGGATTGTGATAGTTATGCAGAATCACAGAACGTTAGGGGCAGGAAGGGACCTTTGAAGATCATCTAGTCCAGCCCCCCTGCTAGGGCAGGATCACCTACAGTAGGTCACACAGGAACGCGTCCAGGCAGGTTTTGAATGTCTCCAGAGAAGGAGACTCCACAACCTTCCTGGGCAGCCTGGGCCAGTGCTCTGTCACCCTCACAGGGAAAAAGTTTTTCCTAATGTTTCTGTGGAACCTCCTATGTTCCAGCTTGTATCCATCGCCCCTTGTCCTGTCATTGGACATCACTGAGAAGAGCCTGGCTCCGTCCTCCTGACACTCCCCATTGACAGATTTATAAACATGAATGAGGTCACCCCTCAGCCTCCTCCTCTCCAAGCTAAAGAGACCCGGCTCCTTCAGCCTTTCGTCATAAGGGAGATGTTCCACTCCCTTCATCATCTTTGTGGCTTTTTGGACAGTTCTTTGTCCTTCTTGAGCTGAGAGGCCCAGAACTGAACACAATATTCCAGATGTGGCCTCACCAGGGCAGAGTAGAGGGGCAGGAGGACCTCTCTCGACCTACTACCTACTCCCCTTCTAATAAACCCCAAGATGCCATTGGCCTCCCTGGCCAAAAGGGCACATTGCTGGCTCATGGTCACCCTGCTGTCCACCAGAACCCCCAGGTCCCTTTCTCCTACACTGCTCTCCAGCAGGTCAGTCCCCAGCCTATACTGGTACATGGAGTTGTTCTTGCCCAGATGCAAAACTCTACACTTGCCCTTGTTGTATTTCATAAAATTTCTCCCCGCTCAACTCTCCAGCCAGTCTAGATCTCACTGAATGGCAGCACAGCCTTCTGGTGTGTCAGCCACTCCTCCCAGTTTTGTGTCATCAGCAAACTTGCTTTAGGGCCTTGGAGGAAGGACATGCTGATCGAGAAGCACTGAGAAAGTAGTGTAAGTACAGGTTTACCCATAGATTCAGTGCTACCCATCACCAGGACAAGTTATCTGTAGCAAAAATAAGAGGGTACCAAAAATTACTGCATTGTATGATCTACTGGCCTTGCATCACGTCTAAACTTTCATTCCTGCACTTGTTGTTTCTTAATGCCTTAATTAGGACTCTCTGTAATGTTAGTCATGCCCCAAGAGCAACAACAACAAAACAAAGCAAAAATCAAGTGAAAGATTTTACAGAAGTTCTAGTGAGGCAGCAGGCAATTTATTTGTAAATCACTGGCGATACTTTATGTTTTAATGTCTTGCTGTCGCTTCTGTAAGTGCATGCTTTTTGGCTGACTGAACAATTTTAACTAGCTATCTAAAGACAAACTGTTATCTTTTGAACACTTTTAAAAGATGAGGTTTTGTAGAGAATCCAAAGCTATCTAGAAAACCAACCCATGGTGTCTCTTCCAACATACTGCAATATACACACGTAGTGTTGCTGAGAGGAAAAGCAGATAATAAAGGCAAGAAATCAAGAAAGTATGCAGGGTAGTGCGGGATAGTAGAAGAATCAAAACCAGCTGTGCATTGGTATGCTTGTTAACGTGTATAAATATCAGCATGTGGCGTATCATAGATACATGTTAAGAAATGTACCTGATCCAAATGGATCTAACAGGAAAATTATTTTTGTATTGGAGAAAAGTAGAGTAACATACCTGGAAGACAGGGATGATCTTTGAGA